ATTGTTAACTGATATTGCGAGTTCTATAGATATGCCAAAATAAGAAAAAAAAATATTTCCAATATTTACTAGAGAATACAGTCTTCAAATGTCTATAAGGCAAAATTTTCTTCTTCAGATATGGCTCTTCTGGGATGATTTTCTGATTTCTAGCCTGTGATCCTATTTATCCTGATGGTTTCAAGTACTAACTTGATTTTTACCTCACACAGGTTTTGAGATGAGCCAAGATCCTGTAGGTTCTGCTTGTCACTGCAAATGCATCTCCCTTCTTCCCCAAAGTATTTAGATAGGCAGATGTATACATCTTTCTTTGATGTAACACAATTTTAAGGAAATATGGACTGGAGAATTTCTCTTTTCAACCCTAGAGACTCATTCTCATGAATCAGGTAGGAAAATATGAAATCAAATCCTCTCAAACTGAGAAGCTTGCATTCCATGTGCAATAGCGCCACCTGGTGAGTTTTAAGTGCAACATATGAACTTGCTGTAACTTGCAATATCAACAACTTGGCATAACTCAGAGATGCTGGACAGTGGACACCAGCCTCTGCTCTTCAGAGCAAAAGGCAAGGGATTTTGGGAAGTTTAGTTCAAAACAGAACAAGCACTAACTTTTCCCCTGGGTCCCTTTAAGGTAAAATGGTAAATGTGCAATCTCCAGCTTTTGTTGAACTGCACTAGCCACAGTCAGCATGGCTAAACATCACAGGAATTGGTGCCAGGAGCCCAGCAATAACTGAAGAATCAGACATTCCCCATCCCTGTTCTAATCAATACAATTATGGCTTCAGGTTCAGGATGGCCTTTCAATGGAAACATGTATGCAATGGTGGTAGAAGCCAACTGAAAGCCTGCAGCTTTATTCTCCTTTCCGATGTATTAACAGAATAATAGAGTTGGAAGGGATCTTGGAGGTCTTCTAGTCAACCCTCTTCTCAACCAGGAGACCTTATACCATTCCAAATAAATGGCTGTCCAGTACCTTCTTAAAAGCCTCCAGCGATGGAGCACTCACAACTTCTGGGGGCAAATCATTCCACTGATTAATTGTTCTAACTATCGGGAAATTTCTCCTTAGTTCTAGGTTGGGTCTCTCCTTGATTAGTTTCTATCTATTGTTTCTTGGTGCTTTGGGAAATAGGTTGATCCTTCTTTTTTGTGGCAGCTCCTCAAATAATGGAACACTGCTATAATGTCACCCCTGGCCCTACTTTTCACTAGATTAGACATACCCAATTCCTGCAACCATTCTTCACAGGTTTAAGCCTTCAGCCCCTCAATCATCCTTGTTGCTCTTTTCTGCACTCTTTTCAGAGCTGCATCATCTTTTTTGTATTGTGGTGACCAAAATTGGATGCAGTATTCCAAGTGTGGTCTTACCTATTTCACCTATTAAACTCTAGATTGGGGTTAATCAAACACCCTTCTACAAGTACATCATGTGCAATGCACAAGCATCATGCTAAGACTATTCCGAACCACAAAACGCAATATCCAACTGTAGCTTTGTTCTCATCCAAACAGCAAGAGGAATATACAGTACTTCCTCCCTCTTTCCCAAAAGGGGAAGAGAATACATACAGATAGTCCTTGATTCACAACCATTTGTTTAGTGACCATTTGAAGTTATGGCACTGAAAAAAGTGACTTATGACTGGTTGTCACACTTACAATTATTGTAGCATTCTCTTGGCAGTTGCACAGTTCCTGGGGTCATGTGATAACTATTTGTAACCTTTCCAACCAACTTCTGACAAGCAAAAGTCAATGGTGGAAACCAGATTTTCTTATCAACTGCAGGATTCACTTAACAGCTGCAGTGATTTGCTTAACACCTGCAGCAAAAAAGGTTGTAAAATGGGGCACAACTCACTTAACTGCCTCACTTAGCAACTGAAATGTAAGACTCAAGTGTGATTGGTTATACATTAAGGATCTGTACTTTTTAGAGCACTTGAACAATGAAACCATGTATGTTGATGCACCCTACACAATGAGGGATGGATATCGGTCAGCAATTGTTAGCTTTCCAGCCAAAGATTAAAAGTTGGCAGCCCTATGGAAGGAGAGTTTTCTCCCAGCAGCCAACCCCAAATCAGGAGGGTTTGGTACTAGGGAGCTGAAAATCATGACACAACTTTTCAAGCTCTACTTTTGTTTCAAAAAAAAAATATCAACAAAAACTATTGCATGATTTTCAGCATCCAGAAGAGAAATGCTGTGATGAGAGTAAATTTGTGTAAGACACATCTTCCTCTGTTGGGTTTTTCCTGTTCTCTGGGTTTTGTTGTCTTTTTACATAGATGTTGAACATCTGCCCAGGATGTTTTGCCTGACCGCAGGGAAAATGTCACTTTTCCGTGGTTACACCCAAAGCATGGGATACTGGCTGGCTGGTGATGAGATGGGGGCTGTTTTGTGAAGTCATGTCTTTGAGGGACAGACAGGCAGTGGAATAGTTGCATGATGTGGCAAGGAAGATGTTTGGATGAGTCCTTCACCCACTGGTGGGGAAAACCCAGATTTTAAGAATGGGCAGATGTGAAGGAATTTTTCCAAATGGACAAATAAAGTTTTTGGCAGAAGTAAAATTTTATTCTCTCAATAGTGCACCTTTAGGCAGAGATAGAAGCCTGCATAAAAGACGTAACATGATGCCTGAACTTGCTGTTTAGGCATTCAGAGCACATCTCTTGGGCCTTGTTGGCTGTCCCCTTTACCAAAGTCAGGACAGTTGAATGTCCCCTTTACCATTTTTCATTTGCTATCTTCTCATGGATGGTTCTCATGCACATCTGCAGAGGGCTGAACTAGATCTTTGTGGTCTCTTCCAACTCTCCAGTTAACCATAGTTCATCTCAAACACCCCAGACCTCAAATGCCTAACCTGGAAAACAGGCCCCCCTGCATAAGAAACAGCCCTCCCTCCTGCAGATAAGGAACAGGCAAAAGAAACCATGTCTTCAGCAGGACCAAACCAAGACCTGTGATTGCAAGTCAGCTCACTTCAGGGAATGGGTTGCAATTCTGAATTTCAGCACTTCTGACAGCCTTGCAGATTCATACCAGTTATGAGAGGTAATGGGGCAGGACTGCCTTCTTTTCTCATTTGTGAATGGTTGGCCTTAGAAAACTGCATTATCCATGCCTTCTTCCAGCACTGGAGGCAGGTTTAGAATAAACCCCCATCTCCATCCCACCTCTCCTAACACAGTTCTTCCATTGCTAGCAAACAGGAGAAATGGAGCATTTGGGCAATAGGCTCGAGCAACAAAGCCATTCTTTTCCAAGTTCAGCATTAGCTTCCAGGCCACAAGTGACCAGCTGTTTTATCTGCACCTAATGGGTAATGATGCTATGCTACTTTACATCCCAATCCACATTGGTAACACACGGCAACCATCACCATATCAAAAGCAGCACAGAAGTGCACCCATGCACCTGATTTTAATGTGGAGAACCACAATGGCAAGCTTTGACTGGTGCCTCCACGATTACACCAAACTGGCTCTCCAATAGTTTATCTGGGCTTAGTCCAAACTACAAGATGCTACTGCAGGAGCCCAGGCAGAGCAGCTAATCTTAGTAGTTTCCCTCCATCTGAAGTCAATGAAATTTTCTCCTACAAAACCTGGGGCAATTTAAAAGTGTGCCATTGATCACTTGTGCTGAAGAGCAACTCTCCATAGATTACTACCCTCTGGAGATCAATGGAGAAGCTTCAGTATCACACTCCACAGGGGTGCCCTATTGAGAAAAACAAAAAAGGGGACAAGCATCTTCCTTTCTACCTCATTTCAACCACTTGAACATATTTCACAGCACAACCATCAAATTCTAATGGAATAAGTTCATGTCCAGCTAGGTAACAACTAGAGCAATAACGATGATTAGAGTACCAGAGGCTAAAACTTATGAAGAACAGGATTTGGGTATGTCTAGTTTAATGAAAAGAAAGATGATAGCAGTGTTCCAATATCTCAGGGGCTGCCACAAAGAAGAGAGAGTCAACTTATTTTCCAAAGCGTTTGAAGGCAGGACAAGAAGCAACAGATGGAAACTAATCAAGGAGAGAAGCAACGTAGAACTAAGGAGAAATTTTCTGTCAGTGAGAATAATTAACCAGTGGAACAACCTGCTTCCAGAAGTTGTGGGTGTGACTGGACAGCCATTTGTCTGAAATGGTAGGGTTTCCTCCTTAGGCTTTGACTAGAAGACCTCCAAGGTCCCTTTCAACTCTATTCTGTTAGGTAGCAGCACTTGGCTGACCTTGACTGATCTCCAAAACTAAACGGAATCAGATGTGATCAGACAGGGCACACACATAGAGAGAAAATCCCATGGCTGTGGACTAGCCAAACTAGTTGGAAAAACATTCTGAAAGTAATGAACTGTTTCTGCACTTATGCCAATAAAACTACATGGATATTTCCATTAAGTCACCGCAATTCTAGGTTGACTAAGCGTTGGGCAGCAACAAATTGGATATATCTTTTTAAAAGGAATCTTTTTAATAGCCCTTTTCAGCCTGCACCCTGAAACATCATTTACTGGGGTATTAAATTTAGTAGCTAGAACAGTGAAATATATAGTAGGCCAGAGCACACAGTTGTAGTTGATTGGTTGCAGGGTGCTGGCTCAAGCATGAGGCAATCTATGCTGTGATTGGTTGCTTTAAATGTGGAGCGGGAGCTTTCCTTTTTTCCCTTTTTTCTTCTGTGTGCTGCATTTACCTCATGAAGTTCCTGACTATTTTGTCTGCTGTAAATGTAAATGTTAAATATATTTATTTATATAAAACTACAATTTTGCGTCAGCGCCTCTCACTTCATTTGGACAGTTGCTGCGCAATTGCTTGACAACATTCTTCAGTTAGGTGGCCTCTTCGATTTATGAAAGAGCAGAAGAAAACGTCTGAAACATTTAAGAACTGGCAAATGTACCTGGGGGAGCGGGAGAAAGAAGTGAAAAAGAAAAACAGAAAGAACGCTCAATTTTTAATTGATTAAATAAAATGAGTTTAATGCAACCATAAAAAATATGCAGGTGCTTAGTACTGAAGACAGTGGTTCTGTGGAAAAAAACAACCGTCCCCTAAAATTAACTGGTTTGCAAAAAAAAAAGGGAAATTATAGAATAAATTACATTTTCTAGTTAGCCATAGAAGGGGCAGGGGAAGGTGAAACAAAGGTCTGGAGCTTTAATGAAAACAGATTCCTGAGGAGATGAAAACAGAATGAAAACAAAGTCAGAGAACTCAAAGGAAAACAAAACCATTTCAGGTGATTCAGAGGTCAGGACTCCAGACCTTGACAAAATTCGGCAACTTTAGCAGATGGTCAGTCTCAAAGGAGCTGCAGAAATGAAGGGCAGGCACATGAGCCATGTGCCGTTTTTGAGAGGTAATCTGATGCATTGCCAGAGTAGAGGAACTCTGCTGAATCCTCTGGAACTGCAGTGTCTAGACAAAGGTATCCAGGGGTGTCTGCAGCATATGGTTAAAAACCCAAGATGATGGCTGCAACAGTCAGTCTGCAGCCTCTAGAGCAGGGGTGTCAAACTGCCGGCCCGTGGGCCGGTTTCATCATTGCTGGCAATGGTGAAAAAGCTCCGATATGTTGCGCAACGTCTGCTGTAGAGGAGGGGTGTCCAACCCTGGCAACTGTAAGACTTGTGGCTGGCTGGGGAATTCTGGGAGTTGAAATCCACAGGTCTTAAAAGTTGCCAAAGGTGGACATTCCTGCCCTAAAGAGAAAACACAAAGGGTACTTTTGAGTCTGTCCAAAAATTGGATACTCACTGGAGCCTCTGAATTCCTTGACGTGTCAATAGAACATCAATTAACTGGATGATCAGCTGGGCTAAACTGCTTTGTATCCATTTCTTTTAGCAATGGACTATTTTGTGAGATATATAAAGGTAGTCCTCGACTTTGTTTAGTGACCATTTGAAGTTACAATGGCGCTGAAAAAAAATAGACTTACAGCCAATTCTTGTGCTTATGACGGTTGCAGCATCCCCACGGTCATGTGATCAACATTCAGGTGTTAGGCAACCAGCATGTATTTACAATGGTTGCAGCATTCTGTGGTCATGTGTGACTGCCATTTGCGACCTCCCCAGCCACCTTCTGGCCAGCAAAGTCAATGGGGAAAGCTGGATTTGCTTTACAACCATGTGGTGCCTTAACAATGGAAATGATTTACTTAACAACCATGGCAAAAAAAGTCATAAAATCAGGCACGACTCATTTAACCATCTTGCGAGGCAATGGAAATTCTTGCCCCAATTGTGGTCATAAGTTGAGGACTAGCTGTAGCAGGTGAATAATTTTGTCGTTCTGACTAAATAGGTTTCTTTTAGGTAAGTATAGCCTAACTGATACTAAGGAATGAACAGTGTTCCATATTTGATAGTAGAAAATGATTTACAAATCCATTCTAAAAGTTAGGTATTTACTTTTGGGAAGAAACCATAACTAAAACTCCCGTTTAAGTGCTGGTTTAAAAAAATCTGGTTTCTTTTAACAAGGGCCAGTGTCCAAATAGAGCAGGGGTGGCCAACTATAGCAACTTTATGACCTGTGGACTTCAATTCCCAGAATTCCTGAGTCATGCTGACTCGGGTATTCTGGAAGTTGAAATCCACAGGTCATAAAGTTGTCATAGGTGCCCTCTCCTGAACTAGAGGACTCTGGGGGGCTTCTGGGTTTTCAAATTCTTTTGGGATAGTGGGGAAAAGATTAGGAATTATCAAATAAGTAATAATTACATTGCTGTTGTTGCTAGACTGAGTCTCGGTAGTCGGCAAGGCAAATTTTGGTTTAGCAGTGTGGAAGATTGCAACCGATGGGACAGTTATCAGAGGACACTGTGCCGATGATCAAATTGCTGTTCACCAGTCCTCGTCCACTCCCACCTCTTTATGCCAGCCCCACTGTGGAAGCTGGCCAGGCAACATTTTCATTAGAAAAACACTAGAGATACGGAGGTCCAATCAGAGCTGGTGAAGTAGGGCAACAGCCCCAATTTGTAGTATAAAGAGATCTCCTCCCTCCTGCACATCTGGGAGTGGGTGTGCAGATGTACCAGAAAGAAAAAGCATGCCGCAGCAGGCATAATCCAGGGTTCTGATCCCAACCTCAGTCATAGAGTTGGAAGCTGGAAAGCAGAGTTATCCACTTTTAAATTTCTCTCTACATGCTGAGACAACATGTGAAAATCAGAGAGATCCCCAAAACCACAGTCTTTGCATTCTGCGGGGCTTTGGCTGGGCTGATACCACAATAAGGCTTAAAATGTTTTATACAATAAGCACCCTATATTGTGCATTAAGAAAAGCAACTGTCCTCTGGGCCGTTGTTTCAGAGCCATGCCACACCTCCCACCAGAAAACTTCACTCCAAAGCCTGATTTCCCTTCCCCCTCCCCAAATTCTGGGCAAAAGTTCTCTTGAGAAGTTTTAGGTTACATGCACACCTCTTTCCTGTACCAAATTCAACATTCTCAACCGTTTTAAACAATTTAAAGATACTATTGAATAGTTTGTTCACACATTTACCCATCTCCCATTGAAAATAAGTTTCCAAGCAAAACTCCGAAATTGTTTGCACACAATACTAACATGTGCTAAACACAATGGATTTTGCTTTAAAAACAGCTGGTTAAGAAAATGTTTCAGATTGCTGTCGTAATAATTTACATCCCAGTTAACTGAAGTTGTCAATTAGAGGGATGCAAAATGAATAAGCAATAATTTTTAATCCATTTGTACTAAATACCAGTATCCTTGACTTACAACTATTCATTTAGTGACTGTTCAAAAATTACACTGAAAAGGGGGCTTTGATTGGTCCTTACATCGCAACATTCCCAGGGTTATTATGTCAGCTAATTTTGGGCACCTGGCAACAGGCATGTATTTACAACAGTTGCAGTGTCCTAGGGTCTTATAAACATCTAAGCAACATTCCTAGCCAGCTTCCGACAAGCAAAGAATGGGGGAAACTGGATTTGCTTAATGATGGCATGATTCACTTAACTGCCGTGATTTGCTAAACGATGGCCAAAATAGTCATAAAGGAGCATGACTCTCTTAACCACCACTTTGTTTAGCCATGGTCCCAAGTGGTCGTAAGTCAAGGATTACCTGTATTTATCTGATACATATTCTAAGTCAGAATTCATGTTTAGAGCATCATGTTCTCCAGAAAAGGTACGGATTCAGAAGTTTTTGAACACACCCAACCCATGGTGTGATTATTAGGGGTTTAAAAGTTTCATGGAAGGAAAAACACACAAGGATGGCAGAGGACTAGCGGAAGAACCCTTGTGTCAGTATGGACAGAGCACGATGCTTGACGCTCTTCCTTGAACTCATATTGTCAGAAATTGAGTTATTGTAGGGCACCTTTTCCCAACCTTGACAATTCTAAGAGATCTGAACTTCAACTCCCAGAATTCCCGAGCCAGAAAACATGGTGATGCAGTGGTTAGAAAGCAGTATTGCAGGTTGACTCTGCCCACAATTGGGAGTTCGATCCTGATTGGCTCAAGGTTAACTCAGCCTTCCATCCTTTTGAGGTCGATAAAATGAGGACCCAGATTGTTGGGGGCATATGCTGACACTGTAAACCGCTTAGAGAATGCACTATGGAGCAGTCTATAAGTGTTAAGTGCTATTGCTATTGCTATCTTAAAATTACCAAGGTTGGGAAATGCTGCTACAGGGTGACTGCAAACTGAAGTATTGTCAAATCCACAGGATCTTCTCACCGTTCCAAAAAGCTTTCTTTGAAATCAAGTCACTCCAACCTTGCAAAGGATTTTGCAGTGAAGCCTGAAAAATCCCATTCCCTTAGCAAAGACTTAGAAAATGTAATTTTTAAAAAAGGAAGAATGAGGGAGAGAAATTTCTAGTAAGGGTAACCCTCTCTGAAAAGAAGTCAGGTCCCCTAAAAGGAGGTTTTTAATTGTTAACAACCCACTTTTCCTTCCATTTAAATGTTAAGCCATTTCACATCGTAAAGAAAAAATATCCAGATCTTCTATTCTTATCATTTCAAAGAGAGATAGCCTTTATACAATGTGCATATCTGCACCCATCTAATAGATTATATAAATTTCACAGCTACACTTTATTAGAACTAAACACAGCAGCCTTCTGTTCCTCAAACTGCATCGTTGCTGTTTTTTTTTTCCTAAAGAAAAGGGGGCAAAAGGCCCCTTGCACAGTTTGCCATCTTACAAAATATTACAAGGAAGAAGGCTGCTTGCAAAACTAAAAACAAATGTAGACCCTATGTCATGACCCCACCTTTGCTAGAGAAGGAAGCAGGGAGGAAAAGCACAGAAGCCATCACATTTGGACAAAAAATATTAAATAAAATAAATTATTAAACGAAACAGAAGAAGTTGGCTGACTTACCACACACAAGGGTGCTTGGAATTTGAATGCAAGTAAGAGGCTGGTGTGCAAACAAATTTAAGAGCAATTTAAACTGCAACCCAGAAAGGGATACAGATGAGGTTGACATAAAGACTGTCTCAAAATACGGCCACGCATTCAAACCCCAGCAGCCCTTTGTCTTGCAACCAGATTACCACTGGGTCTAGCAAGCCGACAAGCGCAAGGCAGCTCTCACTGAGAGTTACTATAAAAGCAGGATCAATTAGTTTAAAGAGAAAGAGAGATTCAAACAAGAATGATTTTACAGCAAAGAAGAAGTGGTTTCATTTTAAACCAGACCGTTCGTAGCAGAAGTTGCTTATTTTTTGTGGCCAGTTCAGTTTTATCGGGCAATTCCATTGTCCAAGATTTTAGGGCGGCCAAGTCTCCATATTCTGCCAAACAAGTTGCTTCCTGCTGCTTCATCCCCGAAGTCTTCCCGTTTAGAGTGAAGTTGAACACTGCTCGTTTTAAAAGGAAAAAAAAAAAAACCCACAGTCTTTAATCTTCTGAATGAATATTATACCCTAATCCCATCTAGGTAAAAAGTGCAGCATCGTTTTCTACAGAGCTGGCAAGGACCACCGTCAGGTAAGCATTACGGAAGGGGAGAGAGAGCCCAGAGGAAATTCCTGGAGAACTGCTCTGCTGAAGAAATCACGGGAACTTCCGCCCAGACACAGGAGCTGAAGCAAAAGAGGCCTTCACCAGGCAGGAGATGGTGGCAGCAAGTCCTCACCCCCTTCTCCTAGCAAGCAGAAATGCCAAAATCCTAACCTGGACCCAGAGTCTCAACCCTCCCCAGCAGAGCAGAAAAGTTGAGGAAAGGGTATGTACCGTGTTATTTTCCTATGGTACAAAAGGATATTTGAGCAGCATCTCACTTTGAGGCACTGGGAAAGATAGCTATGGTAGGGCTATTTGGAGAGAGGGGAAGAGACCAGTTCCTAGGGCACATTAAGCCAGCAGGCCAGAAGAGAAGAGAAGCTCTACATTTCAGACCAATGGGTGGCTACAGAAACCAGAAAAGGCAAAATCCAAAGAGATCTGGTCTTTTTTTTTCTTTTTTCTTTTAAAGCCACCGACAGATTTGGCATGAGGTGTTGATTAAAGGAAATGTTCCCACCTCTCTTTCCATCACCAAGCATTCCTCATGAAGAGCAGAGCTCTACTATGTAAATTGGAGGAATCTGTTTCAAGCAGAGAAGAAAAAAAGCTTCCAAGCTTCCTGGCAAATGTGCAATACGTCTTCCTGTAAAGGGAACAGTACTTCCTACGAGGGGCCTACATTTTCAGCTGAAAGCATTGCTACAAGTGGACTGGAACCATCTAACTGTCCTTCTGAAAACACGAAGACCTTGCAAAATTGAACTGGAGCACATTAGACAACTGGAGCAATTGCCTAACTGGCAAATCAATCCACTTAACAGTCTTTGCGGGACCTGAACACCGATGGGGACACTGAGAAGCTAGCGAGAGCTAGTTTGGTTGGAACTGAGAGAGAAGCAAAGGAGGATCGCCCAAAATGTATCTCCTCAGAGTGCCAGGAATCCATTTCTGTTCTCAATCCTCTACACGGACGTTGCCAGCTGGGATTCTGTAAGAACAGGAGAAAAGTTTTGGGAAGTGCAACCATGAGGAAAGTAAAGAGGCGGGGACTTTGGCCCAAGTTCAATGTTCGTTGTGACAGTTGATGTTGCTCTCAGATTGTTCTAAGACATTAAGCATTTCCTCTATGATGGCCTGGAGTGCACGGCCCAGCTGTTCTGCACTGTATGGTTTTCCCAAGGGAGGCACGTGGACAAATGCAGATCGGCCGTGGCTCTGGTACAGGGAAGTGTAGTATGTGAAGTCACATAGATACCTACAAGAAGAACAATGAGATTCAGCCAGGGAGGTGGAGCAAATTTTATAAGCCCTTGCAGCATTTGAAAGCCTACAAAGGTACAGTCAAATGAATTATGGCATTTCATTCCTTCTACTCTTTTCAACAGAAGTGAATATCTGTGGCTCAGGAATTGAATTGTGGAGTTCTTGATACTCTCTATATTTTTGTCTGTTTGCTTGAAATTGTTTCATTACCCAGCTAGGTAATGTAATCAATCCAAGTGCATTCATGAATGCCATCTCCTCTATAAGGTGACTCCTTAATTTCACAACACACGGACAGACTCAACCACAGTTTCAACTGGCATCTTAGACCAAGCCAACTCCAAAAATGCTAGGGAATTCCTGGAAACTTGGCATTCAGACAAATCAGCCATCAATAGAAATATAGAGATAAACCACATTTACACATCATTCAAAAAAATAATCTAGGAAAGATACAAAAAGACTACAGGGAGTCCTTGACTTACAACCACAATTGAGCACAAAATTTATGTTGCTAAGCAAAGCAGCTGTTAAGTGAGTTGTGCCTCATTTTACAACCTTTTCACCACAGTTGTTAAGCGAATCGTGGCAGTTAAATGAATCGTGTGGTCATTAAGTAAATCTGGCTTCCCCTATTCACTTTGCTTCTCAGAAGGTCACAAAAGGTGATCACGTTACCTCGGGATACTGCATCCGTGATAAATACATGCCAGTTGTCAAGTGCCTGAATTCCAAACATGTGGCCATGGGGATGTTGCAACAGTAGTTAAGTGTAAAAACCGGCCATAAGTCACTTTTTTCAGTACCGCCGTAACTTCAAATGGTCACTAAACAAATGGTTGTTAACTCAAGGACTACCTGTACCTCAAACTATTTCTCTCCACCCCACTCTTATCCTTCCTCTCGTCCTTCTCCTCTCCACTTCCTCATCATACCTCCCGGCGTCCTCTGATATCGTGACGGTGACATCCAGTCCTAACGCAGAGACTCTCTTGCACACGGCGTCCATGTCAATGATCGAATCGATGCATTCTGGGCCCCCTTCAATACAGCATTCAGAACCGGGGCAGAAGTGACAGTTGTCCAAACCCCGGTAGCCCACGTTGTGGCCGCATTTTTCCAATGTCACCGTTGTGGCCATGCCAGACAGTCCCACGTGAACTACAAGCTGTTTTGAAAACAAGTCAAAAGCCTTCTGTTGGCAGAAGTGGAAAAGCAGGTTCATGAAACCAGCACAGCTGAGAGCCAAGCTAGCAACCTGAGGTCAACATGCCTTTAAATCTTTTCCAAATAATCCCTGGAGTGTACCTTCCTCCTCCCTTCTGGAAGAAGGAAATGTATATAACCATAGTGCATGTCCTTAAAGAGACAGGCCTTGGTTAAAAAAGAAACAAATTCAAACTCTCTCTACAGCCAAGAAAATACAGCCATTCTATATAAGTGTGCTCTGATCCTACTCATCTGCGATATTTCTGTTGGACTCTTTCTTTAAAAAAAGAAGGTGGATAACCATGGGACTAAGCCATTAAAAACAAATTACCCACCCTGGCCATTAAAAGACCCAGTTTATGATCACTGGAAAATGCAACTCTGATATACTTGTTCTTACCTTTTTTGGGCTGTATTTGAATCTAAGGTCCGTTCAAAATGCTGCTATTGCCCCTTAAAGCCCTAACTAACTTGGGGCCAGATAAGTTTCTCACATCCTTTCTTAATATAGAGATCCAGAGCCTAAAATTATGCTCAGATAACTTTTCTAGAAAAGATTAACTTGGTTGCCAGGTTGCTCCCTTTGAATGCTACATGCCATTTATGTGTATTTGATTTCTCTAGGATAGGGGAAGGCAACCTTGGCTCATTTATGACTCGTGGACTTCAACTCCCAGAATTCCTGAGCCAGCATGGCTCAGCTTGGAAACCTCTCCCTTTCCCCTCAGCATGGTTGGCTCAGGAATTCTGGGAGTTGAAGTCCACAAGTCATAAAAGAGCCAAGGTTGCCTACCCCTGCTGAAGTTCTAAATTTAAACACTTAAAACAATCTATTCTTCTGTTCAAATTTACTGCTCGTTTATTGTAGTTTTACAGTATATAGGTAATGCTCAACTTACGACCACAACTGAGCCCAAAATTTCTGTTGCTAAGTGAAACATTGATTAAGTGAATTTTGCCCCATTTTACGACCTTTCTTGCCGCAGTTGTGAAGTGAATCACTGCAGTTGTTAAATTAATAACACAGTTGTTAAATGAATCAGGCTTCCCCCATTGACTTTGCTTGTCACAATGATTCAAAAGGCAGTCACATGACTTGGGACACTGCAACCATCAGAAATGAGTCAACTGCCAAGCATGTGAATTTTGATCACGTGACCATGGGGATACCACAAAGTGAAAAATGGTCGTTACTTTTTTCAGTATCATTGTAACTTTGAACAGTCACTAAATGAATTCTGGTCAGTCAAGGACTACCTGTATTCAGGTTTAGGATGGTTCAGGGTCTTGCTCTCTGTTAAGAGTGAAGGTGAATATATGTGTCTCAGGACAATGTTGCAGGATCCAATCTGGCTCAGTTTCGCATTCTGTATTCCGGGCTTTTCGACTCGTGCTAGAACCCATCATCAGGGAACATCCCTCTAGCAGAGTCCGAGTTGTTCTGTGTGTGGTATTTGTATATGTTCTGTTAAGGTTTACAAATTTTTCTGGTTTTGGGGGGTGATATGCAAACACACTGCAAACAAGTGAATAAAATCGTATGCAGACTGCTGCTTGGATGCTGGAAATACTGCAAAAGAGACCTGCTGGATCAGATCACGTAACCATGTAGTTGAGCAGCTGGTAGACCTACAGGCTAGATCAGACTCCGAAATTAAAAAGTAAGGTGGAACAGAACTTGCTTCCTATCCTTCTTGGTTCCAGCTCTGAGACAGACTTGTGGTTTTATTTTAGATATAATGGCTAATAGCTCCCAACAAACCCACCTTCTATTGTTTTTGGCCTCATTCATCAAATCCTGTCTGTTTTCTAAAACATACACAGCACAGGTAGAACAGCAAAGCCAGGGAAGGGTAGTGGTGGTAGAGTCCACCTCTGTCCATTGAAATGCTTAATTCCTGCCCCCAAGCAGAAAAAAATGCTGCCCTCAGCCACCAAAGGATAGTTTCTTTCTGGTCTTCTCCAGACACAGAATGGGAGGGAGAAAGCAGAACGTGCCCACCCTGCAGGAATGAGTCACACGAACAGGAAACCTGGCTCCATCTTCTGCCAAGTGGGTGAGAGGCCATAGCCATCCCTCCAATCAGGGTTCTCCTTGTCCCCCATGATTGCCCCTCACCTCTAAATCAGGGTTTGCAAGCTGAGCCAGTTTCCTGACACCGGTCTGCCTCAACCTCACTGCCATCCTCACTTCCCTTCACTCACTTGCGGGCTGTGTTTCTTCCACAAGGCGGGAATGAGCCTTTGCACAGCCTGATACTCAACAGGAATCTCGTAGACATGTAGATCCACATCCTCTCCGAGGCCCATTTTCTCCAACTCCTGAAAAAGGGAAGAAAAGGTTTCAAAATAAGTGGCTGTCAAAAAGGCTCTCAGAGATGTGTTTTCTCTAGCCTTTTGAACAGCCCCCCCCACCTGAAATTAGGAGGAGGGGGCATGGAGGATGTGAAAACCTGAGTTTTCCCCCAAGCATTGGGCTAGAATGGGGTTGAATCAAGGGGTTTAAATGATGTATTTTTATGTTGTTGTTTTTATTGGTTGCTGTGAGCCACAGGTGGCTGTTCTGTGAGACAGGTGGCCATACAACTTCTTTAAATAAACAAGGGGCTTCCACTTAGGTCCAGCCATAGTTATTTGGGTACATGGGCTAAAGGGAACTCATCATATTCAGTGGCAGTCCACTTCTAATTATCAAATGTTGAGTCTAGAGGGCTTTTGTGTGCTAATTATGCCCTTGCTGGTCTCAGCAGGTGGCACTACCTAAATAGGGCTCAGCCCAATTAGGATTTGGCTAGAGATGCCCAGGAAAGATCAGAGCTATAATTAGAAAAGGGAAGTCAGAGAAGCAGGTCTCACAAAAAGGAAAACTATCTTTTTCTTTTAACAAGAGGGGCATTCTATGAAGTTCCCAGGATTTACACTCAACTCAGGGGAAGCTGTAATTTTTTTTCTATCCCACAAGCGCACACAGTAGCAAAACAAATTATAGCAGCACTAACTACAGCAAGAAGGGTTTGAAATAAACATTATCCTCCCTCCCTTCCTCTCATTAAAGCAGGTTTTCTCAAACTTGGCAAATTTAAGTTGTGTGGACTTCAACTCCCAGAATTCCCCAGCAGGTAATGATGGCTGAGGAATTCTGGGAGTTGTAATCCATACAGCTTAAAGTTGCCAATGTACAGGAAACACTGCATTAAAGAAATATTTATTTATTAATCATGCAGATTGTGACTAATTAAAAGGAAATCAAAAGAATTCTCAGACAAGCAAATAACAGTGTTTTGAAAAGAAAGGGCTATTTTGGGACAGTGGACATCTGGCTTTTGATTGGATAAGGTTTAAAACCAAGACACCTGGACGATACCTGACAGTGAAAGTTAGGTTACTGTCCAGCAAGAAACATCTCTATTGCCTTTGATGTTGTAACCCCCGCCATAGATTTTGAAACCCAGGTGCTCTAGGACAGACATGTCAAACACAAGGCCCGGGGGGCCGGATCCGGCCCGCGAAGTGGTTTCATGTGGCCCGCAAAGCTATCCTGGAAAAAGTGAGGGAACACCCCTGCTGCCTTGGCCCTGGCCCAGGCTGGCCAGGAACCAATGTACAATTTTGTGGTGGCCATCTATGCTGAAATGCATTGAGTCTTAGCTCCACAAGGCTGTCTGGCAACAGCGAGGAGCCAGCCCCTGCCCCGTCAGCCCCACCCCATGGGTACATGCTGGGGAGGTGTCACCCTTTGTGAGGAATGAAGAAATGGACCATGCCTTGGCGCTTGCCCTGGTCCCACCCCCTTCTGCCAGAGACCCTCAGATCTGTCCCACTCCTACCCAGGCCCCACAGGCACCTTTGACACAAACGATGAAGAGCTGACCACGCCCACCCAGTAAGCCACACCCACTCCATCCACGCCCACCCAGTAGGCCACACTCACCCAGCCCCCCAAGGGCAACCGCAATGCTGATGCGGCCCTCAATGAAATTGAGTTTGACACCCCTGCTCTAGGAGATGGCCATAAAGTTCCTTTGGAATGGTTTACTTGTGGAAATAGATTAGATTAAATTAGATTAGATTAGATTATAGATAAATAGACCAACAGACAGACAGACAGATCTCCTTCATGATTGCCTGAAAGAGACTAGCCACGCTGTAAGCCCAACAGAAAAGTACCAAAGAAGGTTCTTATATGAAAACACACAGAAGTGCAAAGGAGAAAACCCATATATGTATTAGAAACAGGTATGTACTTGAATAATAATTCCACTGGATAACTATATAAAGAACTGTAACTATTTACTGCTAAAATATTATATCCTTTTCATTGCTGCATTTTTTCACTGTTTTTAAAAAAGCACTTTCGTTGCGTGAGTGTGACCACGCCCTATTTTATGAGGGGTTTTTTTGCCAATCATTAACCAAATCCAACTTCCTCCACTAACTTTGCTTGTTGGGAGCTGGCATGGAAGGTTGCAAACGACGATCACGTAGGTTAGGGGTCCTGAATCTAGGGAATTCTGGGAGTTGAAGTCCACAAGTCTTAAAGTGGCCAGGTTTGAGGACCTCTGTCCTACGTGGTCCTGGGATGCTGCGACTGTCATAAATACACACTGGTTGCCAGGCTCCTGAATCGCAATCACATCACCGCAGCAAATACTGCAACAGTTGTAAATGCAAGCACCAGTCATAAGTCACTTTTTTCAGTGCTACTGTAACTTTGAACAGCCACTAAACAAATGGTTGTAAATCGAGGATTCCCTATAAGGGACACCCTGGTGCTTTCGGCCTGTAAGATGCAGGCTCCTCAAAATGATAAGCGAAATTCTGGGACACAGTTTATTTTCTGCTCGACCCAGTCAAGCATCAAAGACTTGGGGCCAATGGTCTGAGCCAGAAATAGGGGAGACATGATAGCAGTGTTCCAGTATCTGAGGGGCTGCCACAAGGCAGAGGGGGCCAGGTTGTTCATCAAAGCAACAGAGGGAAGGACGAGAAACAATGGTTGGAAACTGATCAAAGAGAGAAGCAACCTGGAACTAAGGAGAAACTTTCTGACAGTGAGGACAATCAACCAGTGAAATAGCTTACCGCCAGAAATCGTGGGCACTCCAACGCTGGAGATTTTTAAGAGAAGACTGGACATTCATCTGTCTGAGACGGTATAGGTCTTCCTACTTGAGCAGGGGACTGGACTAGAACAGGGGTGTCACACTCAATTTCATTGAGGGCCACATCAGCATTGCGGTTGCCCTCAGAGGGCTGGGTGGGTGTGGATGGAGTGGGTGTGGCCTGCTGGGTGGGCATGGCCAGCTCTACATCGTTCGCGTCAAGGGTGCCTATGGGGGCCTGGGCAGGACTGGGATACCTGAGGGTCTCTGGCAGAATGGGGTGGGACCAGGGCAAGTGCCAAGGCATGGTCCACTGGAGGAGCCTCACTGTTCCTCTCAGGCCATGCGGTGGGGGGGGGACTTATGGAGCTAAGACTGAATGCGTTTCAGCATAGATGGCCACCACAAAATTGTACATTGGCTCCCGGCTGGCCTGGACCAGGGCCAAGGCAGAGGGGGCCGTTCCCTCAGTGTTTCCAGGATGGCTTCGCAGGCCAAATGAAACCACTTTGCGGGCCGGATCCGGCCCCCAGGCCTTGTGTTTGACATGTCTGGACTAGAACAGGGCTTTTCAACCAGTGGTACGGGTACCACCTGTGGTACACTAGCACAGAAAAGTGGTAGCGGGGGAGGGGAATGAGCTGAACCAATGGCAGCACCGCACAAGCCTGAGCTGCCGGGCTGTCAGGGCTCAGTAGGAGTGCCAGGATCAGTGCCAGGCTCCAGCTGGAGCTCGGCGCTGATCCTGGTGCTTCTGCTGAGCCCAGAAGTGCCAATCAGCTGGAATGTTGCAGCATCCCTAGGGTCTTGTGATTTACATTCAGATTCTTTGCAATTGATTCATATTTATGATGGTCACAGTGTCACAGTGTCCCAGGGTCATGTGAAGTGACCAAAACCTGCTGCAACCACCCAGCAGACGGGGGGTAGGGGGGTGAGGAGAGAATAAAAACCAAGCACCCGCCACCCCACCCCCGCTGGCAATCCTCAACAAAAATGCTCACAACAATGAAAACCTTGGACAGGAGGAAGAGCGCCGCCGGGTGGGCAGGCAGTTGTCTTGCTCGGCTGTGGCTTGGAGGGCACTTTTTTCAGTGCCATTGTAACTTCAAACAGTCACTAAGTGAACTGTTGTAAGTCGAGGACTACCTGTACTTTATCACTTTTTTTCCTCTTTTTTGGTCATCAAGTTTTTGACACCTTGCTAGGCGACTGGTGGTACTCGGATATTGCCATATCCTAAAAGTGGTACAATGGGTGAAAAGGTTGAAAAGCCCTGGACTAGATGACCTCCAAGGTCCCTTCTATTCTATTCTATTCTATTCTATTCTGTTCTATTCTATTCTACACACACACACACACACACACACACACACACACACACACACACTTGTTACTTTATAAGAATGGGAAGCTCTCTCCAGCCTCAGTGCTGCAGCCCACAAATCAAACTGGATCGTACCGCTCAGCAAAACTGCTCATTTGCTTCTCCCCCCTCCCCCCGTCTTCCTAACGTGAATAGCAAAATGCAACGGTCACTGGACAAGCCCTTCAGATTACCCTGTCACCAGCCAGGAAAGCTAGGAAGCTAAAAGGAATAAATAGATAAGTCAAAAGTACAGCCTCCCCAACCACAAAAATACTGCCAATCGAAGAGGCACAAATTACAAACGTGTCTGAGGGTCTCATTGTCTCAGGACAATGATTCTCTCTTAAAATTGGAGGCCAGAGACGTAGGGCTGGGTGGCTAAGAAAAGAGTTTTTATAATTTGGAGAGGTAGTGGGAAAATTAAATGAGAAAGCAGTGGAAAGGGTTAACCTTCCCCTTCTCTTGCAAAAAGCCTAATCTAATGAGCTCTGAATCTTCTATTGATTTTGAAAAAGAAAAAATCACTAATTCTGGAGGCATCTGGTTGACAAGAGCTGAAACAGAATAAGTAGCCTGGGGGACCACTTTGGTATATTAGCTGCCATTAACCATGAAAGCTAGAGGGAGGCTATATTCAGACGCAGTCTATCTTAGAAGAGCAGAGCAAGGAACATCGCTGCTCATGGGCTTCAAAGTTGGTGAAAAGATTCACTTGCCTTCATTTTTAATTCTATGAACGAGGAATTCTTTAGTTCTTGTCACAATAAGAACTGCAAGTTCAAGAAAATCAAGAGCCTTGCAGCACCTTTTATGGCTGTTGTATTAAAAGACATCAGCTTTTGTCTTGGTTG